CAGTTTTAACCTTGTGATTGCATCTTTCCCTGATTGCCTTGGAGCTGGCTTGGCCTGAGGCTTTTCAAAAGACAAGCGAGCCTCTTCTTCTCCTTGGGATAAGTCACCAACAATGGGAAGATACCAAGTCAGAACTTGTCAAGCTGCTCTGTGCATAATGTCACCATGTATTAAAGCTAGCATTTAATCTAGGCTGCCGGGGTCTTCTGCTGTCACTTGAAACCACACCCAGAGGCTGCTGAAGCCCTCCCAACACACATACCCAGTCGCAAGACCACCCGTGCCATCTGTGTTCTTCACCGTTTCTGCAGCTTCCAGACTGACCACCAAAGACAAGCCCCTCAAGCCAAGTGAACCACAGCCACCTGCTCAATTCCCTCCCACAGATGGGGACCACCCCAGCTCTTCTCTGCTGGGTCCCTAAGGTGGGGAACTCCCCTGCTGCAGCCCCATTAAATGCAGGTATCTGTTTCCTTCAGTATCTTACTAAAGCAGCTTTGTTTTTTCATTATTTTTTTTTCTCAGACTAAAGCTCTGATCTTATACATTAAATTCTTCTGCCTAAATATTGTGGAAATGACTGTGTACACTTCCCATTGATAGCTGGATATTATCCTTTAATGTGTGTCAAAGTGATTGTGTGAATAAGGAGATGAAGATAAATCATTAATCTTTATGTACAGAAGGAGATCTGTGATTGACTTGTTATTGTGCATTGGTTTATACACATATAGAATGTGAAAGAGAAATACACACCTATTTCTGTCTATTGACAGACAGATACACTCAGTGTATTCAACTGTATCTGGGGGTGTCTTGTGCTGCTTATATGGATAACCACATTAAAGACACATTGAAACATTACCCTGGGATTTAAGCATTGATTTTTTCTTTTTAGAGATATCCTCCAATATTGTACCCATTTCCTTTACATCTCAAAACCTTTGTGCGCACAAAATATAGCAGAAGCTCTTTATAACATTTAAATCTTGTACCTGAAAATGAACATCTTATGCCTGCAAGGGCTGCAAAGAGTGGTTACTCCTGCCATACATCCGTGCGGGCGAAAGGTCTGAGGCAGAATATTGGAGACTTTGGAAAGTCATACCTCTAACAAAAAGCAAAGCTAACTTGTGGATTCCCTGCGTATTTTAAAAGCAAACACACACAAAACTAATCCAAACAACTTCACACAGGGAGATAACACCCCCTGTACACAACAGTGCCATTGTTTTATAACATTGCTTATGCATGCATATTTAATTCCACATTGTAGTATCCTTGCTCATTTATAAAACACGTTATTTTAAGAAAGGCTTTACAAATGCATGTGGCATTTCATATATCCTGGCCTACATATTTCCCTTTGTTTACTAAGGCACTACATGCATTTGTGTCAGTGCACACACCCAACTCCCTAATTTCAGACCAAGCTATTCTAAAAGATTCAGCTAAGTATTTTTCATGTTTCTTTCTTCTCTAAGCTGCTCTGAGAGGGATTTCACTTTTGATTGGATCTATACCACCGATGCCAGAAGAGTCTTTTTGACATAAGAAAACGCTATGTTTGCATCAAAGTCTATTTTGCTGCTGGAAAACAGCCATATTTCAAAATAGCCTGACACAACTGAAAAAGAAACTTCTTTGGGAAAAAAAAAAAAGACAGCTGTAGCCAGGACAGCATTAAAGCAATGTCTTTTTTATATAGAGATAAACATTTCTCTTGTCATTTCAGAGCCTATATTTGCTAGACAATACACACCAATTTCATTCACTGTTACATTCACTGTCATTACCCGAGCTCCTTTTCTCTATTAGAGCATGTCTCCCCGCTACAGCTCCTCAGCTGCTGATTTTTATATATCCTAATATGCACATTCACACAGGTATTGCTTATGATTTTGCTCTTGTAATTAACTGTTTGCATATGTTAATTGTTCCTGCCCTTTACAGGATTTATAGCAAAATGTATCAACACCAAACAACAAAGACTTGTTGTCTTGCAAAGACCTTTAGTTCCAGAAACTTAAAAATTCCCCCTTCTGAGGTGACTAATTTCACACAGCCATTAAAGAACCACCTTGCAGCCCAACAGGGGCCAAGAAATCCCTCACCAGTTTCCCAGAAAACCCTGGAGAGCAGGAGCGGTGCTTTCGCCTGGGGTGGTAAGCCAGGATCCCACCAGCTCTGCCATTGCCTTTCGTACCAGGAGTGCTGAAATGCAAAAAATTGAACTGAATGAACCAAATTGCTCCTGCTCATCCTGTGACACAGCAAACTGATGTTTTTGAGATGAGTGTACGTGAGAAGGGAACTGCACCCCCTTACATCAGCGTTTCACAGCTTATCTTCTTGTTCAGCACAGGGATTTCCTAACATGCAGTGGGAAGAAGCTCCCTGACAGCATAAAGTGTCTCCTGACAGTGACCGCAGCTCTTCCAAAGGGCTGATGAACTCAAGGACTAGGATAAGGCATGGATGCCCGCATTAAGGGCAGCTGGATGAGAAAACAAGTGGGTGTCCCAGCAGATCAGGAGGCCAGAGATGGCTGGCAAGCCACGTGATCCACAAAGGGCCATGCTGACCGCGCTTGTCAGATTTCTGCTGCTGGCAGGTGCAAAGACACCCTCCCAACTCACTGGGCTGAGGCAAATGTTTCAAGAAGCTTAAAATGGCATTTGGGCAGGGGTATTGCCCCGCTAAGCCCTCACTGCATCCCATGACCCTTCTAGGGTCGCTTCTAGGGTCGCTTCTAGGGTCACTGTGCAAATCCCCTCACCAAGGCTAGTGTGATGCCAGGGCCACCAGGTAGGCACACCTCATTCACCCATGACTTCAGGTGGCCAGCTTAGGCTGAAGCAACAACTTGGCACAAGGAGGTGCTTGGTCAGATGCCTAAGGAGAGTCTGCGGTGGGATAGGAAGGACCTCAGGTGAGTTTGGAGCAGACTGCTTTGTATTTAGAACTAAACTCTTTCTGAGTCCTGGTGCACCCACATATCAGAACCCATTACCAAGCGACTCAAAGCTGGAAATACATGGAAAACCGTGGCAGCTTTGCTTAAGGTGACACAAGACCAGTGTGGCACTAGATAAGGACGATGACTAATTACCATTGCAGGCCAATCTGAACCACCATGTTAAGCAACACCAGGCCATACAGATTTGGTGTAATACTGTCAGGGGGAGAGGAACATGTCTGAAACAGGGCTCCTTGACCTGCAGCCCCACGTTCAAATTCCAGGTGTGTGCACCCCTATCAGGAGGACCGGGGCATAGTTCTCACCTGCAGACTCTATTTTGCAGAGGACAGTCCTGAGCCTGGGGGAAGGAGTCTCCTTCACCCCAGGGCTGAGGAGCCAGAGGAGAAGCCTGGAGGAGAAACGTGCTCCCTGGCTCCATTTCTTCTCCTTCTCCTGCCTCCAATACTCACTGTCTACCACCCCGCTCCAGCTGTAGGCACCCTGGGACTCAACAAGAGGGAGGGGGAAAAAGGCTGTGTGCAGGAGCACTGGTGGTCCCACTGCTTTCCTCTGTCCTTTGCCAGACCAACCCTACTGTGCTAGGTCTTCTCCTCACTTGTTCCTGGTATGACCCTCCCCAAAATCTCACTCGATCAGAGATCTGGTGTCACTACAAATAACCAACTACTTCCCAGGGCAGGGCAGAGGGGAAAAATGCCTTTAAAGGGAGTATGGGATGATACTCTTCCGGCTGTGGAAGCAATGAATCCCCTCCTTTATGCGGGAGAGCAGAAAACTGTAAGTGTGGCCAGAGCCCTGCAAAAATATCTGCTATACTGCAGCAGATGACAACTGGACTCTGCTGTGGCTCAGGGCATCAGCAGGTTGCTTCTAGGGCCAGGAAGAGGCTTTTATCACCCTACAGGACAAGTGGCCTGCTATGTCCTGAGGTCTTCTTTCGGGTTGGTGCTCCCCACCCACCCTGATGCTCAGAGACTGACCCCAACTGGAGAATACCAACCATGGAGGGGAGCTCTGCAATGGCACAAAGAAACCTTTTCATTTGCTTGGCCAGCATCTCCTCCTCACATTGTTATTATCAAGCTCGTGACCAGACAGATTCAGGGCAGGGAAGAAGTTTCTCCCACGTATCAGAAGACCTAAAGATTTTATTTTTTTTTCCCCCCTTTGGCTGTTCTCTGAAGTGAAGAGCAAAGGTGTCCTCCTAGAATTGCTTGAGTGTACTTCTCTTAACTTGTTTACTGTCATTGCAAAGACCTCAGACAGTGGTGCCACTTCCCGTCTTCTCTGTTCTCTGCCTGTAGCACACAATGTATTACTCTCCAGAGGACTGATTTTTTTTTTTTTAAACTCTAACCCAATTATATAATACAGACAACAGGGCGAAATTTAACAATCTGCAGTAGACATGATCTTCCGTGGCTTTAAACTCCAGGAAGCTGCAGGGTAGTTAATTTTTGTTTCTAAACAAGGAATGAGTAATGATAAAGATGAATAAATGAATAAGCAAAGCTCACAGGAAGCAACAAATAAATGGCGTGTTGAGCATGCCAGGCAGTTACTAGTATTTCTGCCTCAATGCTACGGTGAAAAAGAAGGGCTAGAGGTCTGAGTCACTCATCCCACACAGGGCACTCCACTTAACATGTGCTCCTGGCTTTTGAATTGCCATACAGCAGCTCTAAATGGGGACACTTAGTGGCTTGATATTTCTGTTTCATAATACATGCTAACGCACTGTATTTTTTGAGTGTCACTGAACATCCTTTAAACAATGCCCTGAAATGAAAAAAATCACAGGCAAACCCATCTTATTCTGTCTTCTACTTCTTCCCTGCTGTCCTCCTGATAATCTTTTCATCAAGGGAGAACCAGGGAGCAACACCACTGATGGCAGAGCCGTCAGCTTGTGCTCACCAGTGTTGTGATTGACACAACAGGGCTGCCTCACACTCTCTCACAAGTAAGGTCATTCCTTGGAGGTTAAGGTAACTTTTTAAAGTATTTGGAGTCTTACCAGGCACTTTACAAGGATTTGACTTTTTCTCCAAGTCTCTGTCTTCATTTCTGGATTCAGGAGGGTGAATACCTTTGTCCTGCTTCTCCTTGTTTGCAGTAGTGTTTGGAACGGTTATGTTTTGCAAGGCTGGCTTTTTAGGCAATGGAGGTTTGCTACTAAGCTGTTCAGAGGACTTTGCTTTGGGTTTGATCTTTTCATTTAAAGAATCACCAATATTTGTATCGGCCATTTTTTTGATCTGTGCCTTATCACCTCTTAGAAAAGAAGCCAATCCCTCGTTTTCTAAATTAAACTCTGCACTGTATCTTTTAATCTCTTTTGATTCTGGTGATGAGTTGTCTCTATATTTCAAGGACAGTGAGGTGGATCTAAGTTTCACTTGAAAAGGAGTTTTATCTTCACAGCTTGGCTGATTCTGAGATACCACAGAAGAATCACTTGGCACCGGCACCGCATCGACAGCCAGAGAAACGCAGCCAGCCAACATTTCTGTAGGTTGGCCCGTGTTCTCAGAGTCAGACCCTGGCAGCAAAGTCTGCTTTTTGTTGCTGCTTTTCTCTTCCTCCACATCTGATCCCTTCTGCGAGTCTTCATTCCACTTCTCGTTTCTTGAGGAGACTTTTGCTTTGGACAGGAAGACTCCAGTATTTAGGGGGCTTTCCAACTCTGATCTTTCTGGGAAGTGTAGGCTTCTGGTCCTTGGTCTCTCCCGCGCAGAGGAAACAGAAAACTTTCTCAAGGCATTTAGTCCATTGGCTGCTTTTTCAGCTTTCTTCTCCGGAAGTTCCTCCTTGTGGACCACTGGCTGACCGTTCTCCTTCCCAGAAGCAGCTGCCTCTTGTGCAGCCTTTGTTTTCTCTAGAAAGCAGGAAGCAGATGATCCCATCTGTATTGAGAAAGCAGGATGTGAAACACGGACTGAGTCTGTGGGTTGGAAAGGATCTGTGGAAAATTGCTTGCTGGACTCCGACAATAGAGCAACCTCTTTCTTTGCCTCTTTATTACCGGCCGTTTCCACAGGTATCTGAGCGTCCTTCTGTATATTTTCTTCTGACCCTTCCAAGCAAACAATGCTGTTCCTACTAATTGAAATATCTTCTTCAGATGGTATTTTATTTACTGAAAACACAGTAGGAAGCTCCTTATTTTCTTGATTGAAAATATTGATCGACACATCGCTCACTTCCCCTGACAACAGAACTGGTGTTTCTGAGGAATCTTCTTGCTTTTGTACTTCTCTGTCTGGACCAGAGCAGGAAGAAGTTGCAGAGTCTTTGCCTTCTAACAGCAATGGGGACTCAGACTTCACACACGTTGCTTCCAGTGTTGGTTGGCAGCCCTCTGGTTTATTCTCTGGTAGCAGGGCTTCCTGTACAACAGCGGACTCAGAAGCAGGCTGAGTCATCGCTGGTCTCAAAGCAGGGGGAAGGTCCTCAGGCATTCTGGGCTTTGGCCAGGAAGCCACATCCTGCGCTGCAGCTGTGCTGCATGGCAGTTCTTGATTGCTGGGTTTAAATACAGCATCTGGCAAGTCTGTCTGCATCTCCTTTTCATCATCCTCCTCTTCTTCTTCTTCTGGGGTACAGCTCAAATCAGTCAGAGATTCAGACTGGGTCCTCTGCAAGAAAGAAATTCAGAAAGCTCCATCACCATGTACAGATTCACTTTTTTTTTTTCTTATTCATCACTGTAGTTACAACCAAGATCTTAGAGAGGAAGGCAACAGTTGGCTCCGATGCTGAGCTCGCTGTTTTCTTAACCTACATACTAGATGCTTTTTTAGCTAAGCAGATCATGGAATAATGTATTTAACCAATATAAAAGCAATCAGTGACACTTCCTTCTGCACAACTAGTGCTTTCATGCCTTTGTAGATGGGAAGTGCATCAAAACAATGGCCATTGGACGGTCCTTGGCACTTGATTCCCCAGAGCATACTGGATATGTTGTATTGCTCTTGGGCAAAAAGCAGCACTTGAAAGAGAAAAATCTGTCCCTTTGTATTTTGCTACTGCATACTAGCATTAAAAATAAAACAACCCATTCTTGCATGGCTCTGAAGAGGGAAGGGTACATAGAAGGAAGAGCAAAAACCTAACAAGTCCATCCGGTTATGAAGCTCGATGCCAGCTGAGTATCTACCCCCATATGGCAGTCCTCTGTCTAATCCCACTGCCAGACAGCATTACAGCCTCCTTCGTGGAAAAGTCTTCTTTTTCTTTCAAGAGTTAGACTATTTGATAGAAGTTTATAAGTGCGTATGTAGTTACCTGTGAGGTCTTGTGATTAAGTTTCAGGTAAGGACTGGCTAAATACACAGGATTATTTGAAAGCATGTTATTAAGCTGCTGAATAAGCCTTTTCATACGGTGCCTGCATTAGCTCACTGATTCACTGCAGTTTGTTGGGTAAATATATATTTTGGATGTAGGCCCTAATTCTAAGAACACAAAACTTGCACTCTGAAGATGCTTTTAGGGTTCTTCCAACTTCTTATTTTAACAGTGCTATTGCAAAGCCAGAGCTGTGATGCCACCTGCATTCACAATCCATATACACAGCAACGTAAAAGCAGAAGACATCAGTTAGCCAGAAGCAAGGTGCACGGGCAGAGTCAGGCAGGAAAACACACAGAATTGTACTATGGAAAGATGTGAAAACCCCGCACGGAAAACCAGGAGGGCTCAGTCATCTGCCTCAGTTTATAGGCAGATTGGGCAAAGCAATTTTATTTCGGTAACGATGGTGTACAACGGAAGAGGACGGTCGATCAGTGAGTTATTGCTTTACATGCTTTTCTAAATAACTGGCCTCATCATTGTGCTGCTCGCAGCAATGCTCTACTGAGCCCAAAGATCACCCACAGATTTTGGAAAGTACAGAATATCGGCTGAGTAATATTTAGAGATAGAAGGAATAATATTCCTGGTGTTAAGCAAGCCAATTTCATGGCTTCAATGTATTTAAAACATTGAAAGAAACCACAAACAATGAAGTGCCAATACTGTAGTTAACAGCTGCAAACTTTAGTTCTAAAAAGAGAAGAGAAAGAAGAAACATAAGCTATGCCCTTCATAAGATATGACAAAGAATCAGATAAATAGTGTTTTAAAAGGATGATAGTGTACACTTTTTAAGAGTTTGTTGGTTTTTTTCCTGTGGACACTTTTTTTAAGTCTCTCTAGTGCACATAAGCATAAAGGTTTTACAAGTTTAGGGGCAGGGAGACAGCTGAATTCTTCACAGTGCTAATGTACAGAATTTGGCTCCAATTAATAGGTCACAACTTATTCTTTCTGTACTTTTTGAAAATATAAGACAAGTTATGTTTGGAAAATTAAAACAGCTCCTCCATCAATAATCTCTCAAAGACTCAAGATTTTACGGGATCTTTCAGATTAGGAAAAATACTCCAGTTGATCAGAATACTTTCCCAAAATATTTTTTTAAGGAAGAAATTGAAGCAGTCAGCCCTAACTTCTTCATCACAAACAAGATACTAAATTGTACTGCATGGTAAATTTAAGAATAAATTGTTACATAAACCACTTCATCAAGAGCTAACAAGTAATCTCATAATATTTAATCTGTTCTTAGTGTCTACTATGGATATGTAGCCTCATCAGATAACAGCTATTAAAACCCAACAAAATACCCATGCTGCAACCTGACTTTTCTTATCATATCTGAGTTTGAAATACAAAGTCCAGTAAGAACTTTCTGGTTTTGTGTCAAAGGTGATACTGTTTATTTTCACAATTACCTGAGAAAATCTTCTCATTTTACTGGATCTCTGGTTCCGGGGTTTTATTAAAAGCTTGTGTCTAGCAGCAGAATTATCCAAGCAAGAGGAAAGTTCAGGTGGAGTGTCAAAATTGGCTGCAGGCGAGATGGTACTGTCAGATATCTGGGGAGTTCCAGTTTTAGCACTTCCATGCCTAGGGAACAGCTGACCGTCTGTGGAGTGAGATCTAGAAGAAGGACCTAAAGTAACCTGAAAAAAAAAACCCCAAATCCCCAAATAGAAAATCAAACAAAGAAACAAAGCCATGAAAGTAACAATTCTACAAATAAGGGGCCATGTTTATTGCCATTTTAAGGTTGCCTCTTTTTCTTTTTGACATCTCTTTAAAATACATTGCATTTCCTAATGTTGCATGTGGAGTATTGGTGTCAGCAATTCTGCATTTTCAGCTGCTTAAATATCATGCTATACTGTCCAGAGGGAAAGACCAAGTCACACGTAACTAGAAGATCTAAAGCACACAAATACATGGCCAGCACGTTCTACAAGACAGATTTATGAAGAGCACTCAGTTACAGAACCTAAAGGGCCAGTTTGCTCTCTGGATCTGTTCTCCAGCCTCTGTGTCTAGGTTCCCATAGCTTCCTACCCATCATCAGGTCCCTTCCAACTCTACAACACCCTCCTAAAGACAAAAAAAATCAAACATCAGTGGCATTGACACTTAAGTCGGCTTGCATTTTCTCCTCATTTACTTGTATCTGCAAAATAACTAGGGAGTTTACCTGAAATGTAAAATTTCATTTGTAGATTATTCTGGAGAAGGAAACAATGGACAATTCCTACCTAGAGGCCAATAACCCATCCAGAAACAACTCCTGAATGCTCCAAGGGGTGCAGTACTTTCACAAAGCTGGAATCCACCTTGCCTGTGTGCTTCACCAAGAGCTACCCTAGTCCCAGGGCTGATGCAAAAAAGAGACTGAAAAATTTATGAAAAATTACTCTGAAAAGGGTTCTCCCTTTCACTTGGATCCAGTTTTTGCAAACAGGCAAAATGATATTTCCAAATTATCTGTCAAGACATTAACAAAACCTCTGTCAATTTGTGACAGCACTCCCTTTGTAGGTTTGAAATTCTGGTTCATTTCATTAGAGGAGCTTTCCTCCTCTGTCTTGCTTTCTTCTGCGGGCTTTCTTCTTTCTTCTTTTCTTCTTTCTTCTTTTCTTCTTTCTTCTTTTCTTCTTTCTTCTTTTCTTCTTTCTTCTTTTCTTCTTTCTTTGGAAGTGATATTTACTGAAGGGGGTGGATGGGAGAAGGGGAGGGCAGGAGAGCGTTCATTTTACTTAGGGAGGGAAAAGCATCTGTGCTTTCTGCAAGTAGAATTCTGCGTTATGCACTGCAGCCAAAGATGCTCTGCAGTGTGGTGAGGGCCCACTATGGCTTCCTCAACGGCCAGGGGAAAACTCCCATTGATTTTAGCAGAGGCTGGATCCACAGCTTCTGACCATGGTTTCTACTTAAGAAAAAAAAAAAAAAAGGTAGCTCAGCCCTGCTGAATAATGGATGCTTTCATTAATTTTCACTCTACAATATCTGCAGTCTAGTACTCAAACATGACTAATGTACAACAAACGATACGTGGCTGCATTATACATTAGTACCTAACAGTGAATACATTGACATTTCAGCTCCATGATAAAGATGCAGCACATGTTCTCTTTCAAGGCACATCATTATTTGTCTGCCTTTCTTCTGGCTTCTGCTTTTCCTCGAGAACTTTGCATGTCTTCCCATTGGCAGTGCTCAGTGTTGGCCACTACGCTGGAAAATCAAGAATCTGGTTTGTTACTGAAATTTTAGCAGCCCGAGTGAATGCCAGCTCTGAGCCAGCTGCAGAAATTGCCTGTCCCATGAAGTCTGGCTCTGGCGAAGCCTGCTGGAGGAGGGACTGGCTGACAGACGCCCTTTCTCCAAATCTCATGTGCACATGGCTCAGAGTCCTTCAGCTGATCATGGTGGGTGACACAAGGTGGAGGGCAATGAGGGAGCCCCATCCCCAAAGTCCAGATGGGACAGTTGCAGTCCCTTTCTCTCTTCTTCAATCCAGGAAAGCTTCCAAGACACAGCAAGGTCCAAAACTGCTGCCCAAAACCTCAGGGCTGCGCTGTGCAAAACTCCTTAGCCTTGTGAGCTGGTCTCCTCAGACTTCTAGGAGCGGGGCTCCTGTCTCCAAAATGCCAGGTAGTAGACCCTGCGGTTTGGGAGGAAAGCCTTCAGATGGGGCTAATTTTTGTTTGCACTCTGAAACTGGACTACGATGAAGAGAGCTGTGAGCGAAATGATGGGGCATGTGGAAAAAGCTGAGCAACCACATAGTCACCACCGCGTCTCAGGAGTCAGCGAGTGAGTCAGAGTGATGTTAATGGAACAACAGGGAGCCATAAATCCTCCTTTAGCAATCACGCATCTGGACTGGACAAATTTACAGCGAGCCCATACCCACTTTCAAGAAATACCTCCTTCCCGTGTTCTGTTATTTTTCTTTAAAAGTATTAAAATTTCACTGCATAAAAGCAGTTTTTCAAACAGCTTCATGTGGAATCTAACAAGTGTGGCCAGAAATCTTTGCTGAGCCCTGCTGCAGCTGGCCTTGAAATATATTTTGCATAATTACCAAGGAACAGTGAGCTCAGGACTAGCTTCTCTATTTCCTTTCTGCAATTCCCCTCCAACCCCTCCTCCTATTTCTAGGAAACGCTCTTCCTTTTACCCCCTGTGCTGTTTCCACTGTGACTCCAGCTGCGGACAACTAAAAGGGACTCTTCAGAGCCTTTCAAAACCATCCTTTAATCAGCCAGAACGGCTGGCTGCTGATTGAAGAAAGCCATCTATTTGCCTGTACTCAAGTCCTGAAAACATCACTTCAGCAAAATTCACAGCTCGCGCGAGCTCACGTGGCCAGGACCCGACTGAAGGCTGGATCTCAGACACCTAAGCAGCAATGTCAGCCTCTGTCATCAGGCAAACACTTTCTATGTCAGTGCGAGGTGACCTTGTGCTTAAAGCAATGGGATGGGCAGATTTCAGAGGATCTAGATTTTGTTCACAGCTCTTCAACAAGCTTCCTCCCTTATCCTATGCGTGTAACCCAAGCAGTTTTTACTGCAATTCCCCCATCTCTAAAAAAAGGGATACAGTTTCAGTGTCTAAATCTGGTTGGCTGTGCCTGGAGATTAAATCATGTCTGTAAAGTTTGCTAAAGGATGTAAGCTATTCTGAAGGGCTTAATTATTATCAACGGGAGATTACTTGGCACCAGAATTATGTTGATAAATAATCATAACTGTGTTAGAAGGACAGGCATTAAAACAGCAAAGCAAACAGGTAGGCATGCAATTACATACATACAAGGGGTTTTTTTTTGCAGCAGATGGGCAAAAAAGTAATATTTATGCCTTACATTTATTTAAAAGACTACTATGCATAATTGCTTGGCCCTTAATACATTTGGCAGAAGTTACCTGTTCTTCTTCTTCACTGCCTGTTCCAGCTAAACTCAAAGAGCTAAGGTGCTTGTGAGAGTCAGAGAACTGTGGGATGGAATGAGGAAGAGATTCAGTAAAAGATGACAAACAAGGTGGATATATTCGCAGAAACCATCTACACAAAGTGCACACAGATACTGACAATGTAAGTTGTTTTTCTCTATAGTCTTAAGGATTAGCAAGGACACTGCAAACATAAAGTGTAAGACAAGCAGATAAAGCATGAAATAATGTATAACAAAACTATAATTTAAAAAGAAAAAAACAGTTTCAAATTCTTTCATGTTTCTTTTTCTGATGACAGCCTAGAAAAACATTAAAGAAGAGAGCTCTCTTATCAGCACATTCAAGGGAGAATACAGATTTTTCAGCTTTTTTTTTTTTCATGCCTGGCAGCTCTCTGTAGTCCTTAAAAACAGCCAGCATCCCCATGAATGCTCACAAACACATCCTCTCCTTCCTAGTTCTGCATTTTCTGGCATGATATCTATATTTTAACAGGAGCAAAGACTCTAAGTAACTGTTTATACAGAGAGCTAGCATTTTCCCATTTCGAGTAAGGTATTTCAGGCACAAAGTAGCGATACGTATAGCAAACCAAGCAATTTATTCTGCCTTCTACACATAGGTAAAACAAGTCATTAAGACTGATTTTTGTCAACACCAGCACTACTCACTCTTGTTGTTGTGCCTGAATATAAGTTTTCAAGGAGCAAAGACACTTCTGGAGGGCTCCTGGGTAATCCATCATCTTCAGAACTAGTCCCAGCATCCTCTGTTCGCTTTGCATGAAGTCCAAATGGAGGTGGAGGTCCTAATTTCATGGTTGGCTGGAGTTTCAACTTCAGCATGGCATAGAATACATTAGTACATGATAGTGATGGAGGTTTCCCCAGTACATTTTTAGCTCAGGTCAATGAGTTACTTTTATTTTAACTTCACAATTGAATGATCCAGAGCAAAGGACATCTCGCTTCAGACATTCTCTTAGGATAGGATGCCAAGCATCCTATTCATTTTTCAACTATCATTTAAGTAGGACCAAGATATGATACTGCCATCTGATTAAATGCAACATTTAACGTAAGCTGCAGAGAGATTTTACTTACTAATTAAATGTTCACCCACAAATATTATCCCAAAAAATCAAGCCTGGAAAGACATTCCATCTCTTGCATTTGAAAAAACTATGTTGTGTAAATTACCTGTAAAGCTCTAATCCGGTCAGAAATGTTTTCTTGAGAAAACACTCTTACTGGCCTTGCAGACTCTTGCCCAGTCTCAGGGATGAAAATGCTATCATGTGACAAAGCTCTGCTTCCCATAATGCCTTTATGTGTCCTGGAACAATACAACAAATGAGTGAAAACACACAGACGTTTTTTGCCAGTCCTATTACTCTTAACTTGGGTGGTCTCTTGAACATGAGTGGAAGATACATGTGTGCAGCACACATTACACATGAGATTACAGACTTCAACATGAATACAATACAGTCATACAGGCTAATCTAGGGAACACCTTTAAAAATCAAACAAAAAATTTGCAAATGCTGTTATCTATCACGTTAACAAACTGAATTAGGGTTAAAGAGAGTTTAACCCTAGCAATTGAAAAGCTACTGCCCCCTTGGTTGGAAGCCAGCAGCTGAGTGGCGTGACAGTGGCACAGGCAAGCCCAGGTGCAAAATGAAGGGAGTTCACATAAAGGAGCCTGTACCTGAGATGGACTAACTTCTTGCTAATGTAAGAACATGTCTTGCAAATGACTGACCATTACCATAGGATGAATAAATACCTTTTACTATTAAAGGCTGTGGTACAGCATTTAATGTATCTTTGCCATGAAGGTCATCAAGAAAAATATTCCAGGCAATACAGTTCTCACATAGAATCATTTGCATAAATCCTTACAAGGTGCTTTCAAGGTCCTTGGGATTTTCCCTTATGAGCCTGGGGGACACATTTTTTCATGGACGCTCTTTGTGGGCTGGTGAGAGGAAACAGGAGATGTTCAGTGGGCAGCTTCTCTCATATCCCGTTTCCTACTTTTGATATGGTATGTAACTTCTTTTGCAAATGTTGCATGTGGGCCATGAACATCTTTTTTCCTCATTGGAATGGTACAGCAGACCCATGGGCAGATAGCTGCTAGGAAGTCTCTTGAGCTCACTTTCCTTAGCTTAGCCCATAGCCTAACTGAGCAGGGACAGGAACGCATGCACGTGGCATATCTTCTGGGACTCCCTCTTTTAAATTTTTTAAATCAGACAGCTATGAAATGGCAAACCAGAATACAGAACTGTTTGGGTTCATGTAACTATCAAGTTAATTGAGGAGACATTCTAGAGGAAAAAAAAAAAAGAAAGAAAAAAGACAAGAACTGTGTATTTTTGGATCTTAAATGCTGTCATAGGGACAGTCAGGAACATAAACAAAACTATGGCAGAAAGTAACATTTTCCTTGTAATGACCGCTATAAATATGTTTGATAAAACAATAGCAGGAAAAAGTTGATCTGTATTCCTGCTGCAGAAGGAAGGAAAGCCTGCTGCTTTTGCTTAATGTATTAGAGACATTAGAAGAACAATTTATCTAAGTGAAAATGTGATCTCTGCAATGCATCCAAGGTCAGAGAGATCTATAGCAATTTGCAAAGTGCGTGCCAGTCAGGGCTGCGATGGCTGCTCAACTCACCAGCATTTTACAGAGACTGCAAGGGCGGCCAGATAAGCAGCGTTGCTACACGTGCACATTTAGCCCAGCCTGCTACCTTTGCTTTCTCCTTCTAGCGCACACATACCTCCCAGATGTGCAGAGGAGGTAGCCTAGATGCCTCCTCAGATCGTGACTGCTCAAATTAATTTTCCTTCCTTTCAAGGAATTTCCTGGTCTTTGTCTTTCTGAACAAATTTTAAGAAACAATAATGTAACAACCCTGCAAGTAATGGCAGAGGAACACAGCCAAACCAGCCAAAGATCATACCCACTCTGACATGACCCAGGTGAGTCAGTCCTAAAAATCTGTTGTCAAACAACAGTGCTGTAACCCAGTGTTAGACCTGGTGCTGCCTGTCTGGAACTCCTGGGGCTTCAAGCTGGACTAATATTGCTATTTCCAATGCCACAAAAGACAAAAAAAAATAAATTAATAATTTCTTTTGGTGTTTGGCGCTGCCTGGTGGCCGCATTGTATAATGTCGTTTTAAATGGCTGGGATGCTTTGCCTTTCCCATCCCTGGGCGCAGCAGCATCTCCTTGCCTGAGGACCAAGGAGGCTTGTACTAAGAGGCACATCTACCAATGCAAGGACTTTTTTTTTAGGCAGCCAAGGGGCTCGTCAGTAAACCTCTCCATTCAGGACTACATTTGAACTTTAGACCAGGTTTCTCATGGCTACTTTTCAGTAGCGGGTAACATTTAGGGCAATGCCTGAACAAAGACAGGATTTTCAGAGGCAGCCAGATGCACAGGCTGGGATTCATCTGATCTAACTTCAGACATTAAACTACAGGTATCTACATCCAAGCTGGTCACCCTGGCTCTCTAGAAATAGACACTTCTAGAGTCTAGTTCATCTGAACAACTCCAGATATCTACACAAGAATGATAGGAGCTTTCTAAGTAATGTTGACTTCTCTCTGCTGATTATAAAAGGCAGCTGGTGACTAACTTAGATGCAAACATTTGTCCCTTGGTCAGACGAATCCCATGTATACGCAGGAAATAAAGGCTTCACAGCTTCTGGTTCCTGCTGATTTCAGTTGCAGTCACCCCTTTATCCCTTCCTTGCTTTCAAAACCTGGCATAAATGGTTAGGTTTCTAAATTTCCTTAACAAACCTTAGGAGATACATCTTAGAGGCACAAGACAACTGTGGTAAAATATAAGCTAACTAATTCATTTTTGAAGATGGGATTCATTCTTTTGAAAGATTCATACTTTTGAAACGATAACCCAAGGCTGATGATGATTAAATGAAAACATTTTTGGTTATTGTTTCTTGCTGCACCCCATCCAATTCCCTTGCGATTTGCCTTGCATCAGCCATTTTAATTTGTGCTTTCCTGAAAAAGCCAACTGTTTGAGAATGCAGCATTCTGAACCACAGGAGGCAATTTTTGGGTGTCTTTAATCTATAAACATAATAGCCGTTCTGTATTTGTTTACCAGCCACAGTCCAAAGACTTACTCGAGTTCGTCTTCAGAATCATAATTAATGTGCGTGTCGTGTGAGGCTGCAACATCGCTCGTTGACTGGAAAAGCTTCAGACCGCTGCTCACAGAAGATGGTTCTTTCCTTTTCTTTTTACCAAAAAACTTTTTGAAAGATTTGAACTTCGATTTTTTCTTTCCTAAATAAAGAAACATAAAGAAGATGCAACCAGCAGCATTTGCAAGTTTTTGGAACAATAATAACTCCCTCATAATTTCTTCATAAGTGGATTTTTTTCCTGGAAGAGGCAACACAGTCTGCTCCTGCATTAATGTATTTTAAGACTACCCTGATAGCATGAAATTACTATTATCTTGGAGAATGGATTGCAATGTTTATGACACATAAGAAATAACCTACAGTGTAGGATCTTTCCTAATAGAGTTTCTACATGCCTCTAGAGATAATTAGACTGTGAAGAAAAACTTCAGTATTAACAGCCTGGGATATAGAGAAGAAATTACAACTTGGAAACCTACTGCCTTTGTTCAGCAAGCTAAATAGTGAAGATAAGGACAATGTTGTTACCAAAACCAATTTACATGTAGAAAAGGCTTACTTAGGTGGAATGTGCAGTGTCGGGAGGCTAATGCTTATATAATGTCAGTTTTATAATACATCCCAGAATATTCTGAATGCTAATTATGAGACTCAACGGATCATAAAGTATTAAACAAGAAATCAAGCAATAATCTTGAAAAGCAACGCTAGCCTGCTCAGTAAGGAAAGACCTGAATTAGGATCAGTTGCAAGCTCTGTGAAGAAACTACTTGAAATGATACCAGAGTTTTGCACAAGACATCCCAACAACTTGTGCCTGTCCCATATAAGCTGGCACGATAGCACTGTGAGGCTTCCCTGTCGGTGTTTCATTTATCATTGGCTCTTGTTGGGTAAAAAAGTTAACTTTGTCACAAGATGCTAGAAAAATCTTATTTCAAGCCTCTGAAAATGTCAAACAGCTCTTGGAGACAGGAGGAGAGAAAGGGAGAAACAGATTCATTTCTTTGATATTGCTAAGGCATTGAAGCTCAAGAAGTCAGCACTTTTCATTCACTGGGAAAAGGAGCCATTCTACCTGAATTGTCCTCTCCATCTCCTTCAGTCTCTCGCACCTTAGGGTCCATTATCCTTGAGGAATTCATGTGACAGTCACTAAAGGAGGTAGAAAAAGTGTCAGTCATATCAACAAAATAACAGTACTTTGGTACATGTATATACACACATACATACACACATATATATACACACAGACAGACAAGTTACAAAAATTTTAAAAAATAAAATAATGTACTATACTTATGCTTTATATATAAATACATAGACAATGTCTAATATGTCTAAATATATGTATTATATTTATATATAAATATACATAAAATATAAATATATCCCATAAGAAGCAGTTGAGTAGTCTGAAATATAATAAATTCCATAGAATCTTTCCACTTTCGTAAGACAATAATACATTATGGTTTAGTTAACTGACTAGTCTCTCCGGACTGAAAATTGAGTTTGATGAGATTCTCAAGTGCTTCTGAAGAGGTGGGCTTCTTGGACTATCCCTCTCTGTGCCTATTCGGGAGCACAGACAAAATGTCTTTGTGGTAATTACAGCATTTGGGTAACGTACAAATAATTTCTGGAAGCAAAACATCATTTTGCTCATTAAGGTTCCTAAATTAAAATATATTTTCAAAACTGTACATGTACCAGGCCTGAGGATAGAGTATCTGTAATTTAAAATGTGTTTTCAGAGCAGTAGTCTGCTTGTGCTCTCTTTTCTTCATCTGGAAAACCATAATTTCTAGGACAAGGCGGAACAAAGTCATGGATGTAATTGTCTGGATGATGAGTTAAATGCTGTAGAATAAGTGTAGAATAACTCCCCCCATCAGCTGGACCCCCACGCCGGTTGTAAAACACCCCCTGCCACCACCCATCAGGAAACCAAAATCGGAGTTAAACACAAAGATGAGGGAGAGCAACTTCTGGTCAAGGGTATCTGCCTTACCTAGGTAGAATTAGGAAGGAACCAGGCCTAGATAAGAACAGACTTGGACGTTACCATACCTATATTTTCAAAGTAAATCCCTGATAGGAGATAATAGATAAATACGTATTTTGCGCTGTGACACATCTAGTTGATTATTAAATGGGCTCAGGGTGTTGCAATAGCAACGGCAGGAGTGCAAACCAATACCTTTAAAGCCTCAGCTACTATATGCATGACCTATAGCATCTATAAGCTATATGCAACCAGAAGAGGGATCCTACAGTCTCAGGTGAGGGAGTATTTTTTTAATGGCATGTTTATATGCCATACTGTGCCATTTTGAATAGGAAAGCCACTGGGGGATAAATACCCACATAATGGAAATGCTAGTTCGAAACACGCAGGCAAGCATAAACACATTCCCTCCGGCAAAATCCAAGCAGATAATATATTATATTTCTGACAATCCAGAAATGTGTTGTTGTCCCATCTTAAACCTTAGCAGCCCATTTTCTGGAGAATAAAAGAGATTTATAAAAAGGTTAGCTCCACCATAATGTCAGAGAAGATTTGTGTGACTGATGTGTGACGTCTGAGGTCATGCAGAATGTTTCCACTGGGTGTGCCAAACATTTGGGGACAGTAATACATGACCAGGGGTGTGGTGTACATGTCCTCGCTTAGGGGAAACAGAAAGACATCGAACCATGACGAGCTCTTTCCTTGCCAGCCATGCGTCTTGAAGCAAGGTCCCCACACAGCCATTCTTCAGGTCTGCCACGTTTTTGCTGTTTCCTAAGGTTATTTTAAGAATAACTCTGTCTTTCCAAAAAGTGCCCAAGATCTGGTGAAGGTAGGCGGCCACCGCAGTGCTTTTGGGGATGTCTCTTGCAAGGGTCCAGCATGGGGCACAGGGCTGGAGCCCTGGCTTGTGAGAAGGAGCCAGGTCCCTTGGCCAGGTGCTACCACTGCTGCAGGGGTCATCCCTGGATGGCTCCCCGCTGTCACCTGGGGGAAGAGCTGCTTCACTGTGGCAGAGCTGCTAAAGAGATCCAGGCAGTGTGAAGGAAGCAAGGTCATCTGGGCAAGCTGACTTTGGAGTGAAGCAGAAAGCAACCTGAGGTAAGGGTCAGGGGTGCCTGGGGTGAAGGAGACACGGGGCACAAGCACCAGTGGCCTCTGCCTCCTGCACAGGAACCTGGAGGAGACTGATGGCCCCAGCAGGGATGTGGTTATTTTAAACAGCAAATACAGTAAAAAAAAAATCCTAGAAGCTTGGGCAAGATGAGTGATATTGTTTTCACAGTGGGGGGACTGTAAGGCTTTTACAAATATTGCTGCATCTCTATGTGGCAGGCAATTTCAAGGACTAGGGAACTGCATGGACCTTTCACTGCCCAGAGCTTGCGAGTGGGCACATCTCAGCTTTTCAGTTCAAAAAGCGAGTTTCCAGCCTGAACCCAGGGTTTGATGTGACTCTCCTGAGCCCGTGCTGGCTGATGTGCAGGAGGAGGAGGAGGAGGAGGTGGTGGCAGCCCTCGCCACTGTCGCTATGTTGTGCAAAAACAGGCTGTGACGAGGACCATGAGGCACGGGCGCCCGCCCAGCGCCAAGGCTACAGGAGGAGTTTTATGGCTGCTGTTACCTCGGGGAGGAGATTTGTTTGTGCCAAGAGACAAACAGGCACCTGCTTCCTGAAGCTGAGGATGGCGGAGGGGGTTGGCAGGCGGAGGAGAGGACGGGAAGGAGCTGGAAAACACTCGGCAGGCGGCACGCTGGTGGCCGGATTTTCAGAAATAACGCTCAAAAGTCAACAGACTGGTTTTTAGCAAACGTTGATTTTAAGCAAATGCTGAAGTTGAGACTTAGATACTTGCTTGAGTGTTTTGCTGAGTAACAGTTTCCACCGGAGCAATATCCCAACACAGCACAAGGAGATACTGGCCCCAACTGAGCATCCCACGGCTGCCAGACATCCCTCTGTACTGCTCTGCAAGGGGGACGCTGCCCCCACTTAGGGTCTAACCAAACCTAGCTGTAGCCAACCACATTCATTTCTACCTTAAAATTTAAAATGACATTTTTATTGACGTGGGGGAAAGATGTTTTTCCTTTCAAACACTTCCTTTGCCTAACACTGTTAGAGAAACGCTGGTTTTCACCTGCTCACCACCCGCCATGAGATAACTCTATTTTCTTTCTCAAATATGTAAACTCAGAGAACTGTTCTATCTATACCTCCCTTTTTTCCTTCACTATAATGTATTTTAACCATAACTTTAGGCAGGTTTTCAATCTTTCAAGCTTTTTCCTCCATATCTGTAATAAAAACCTCCAGTAATAATACATCCATCGTGGAAAAGATTCGATTAACACACGATACTTAAGAGCAGAAGCAAAATAAAAAAAACATAACAGAGGCCAAAGTTTACCCTTGGTATGACTATAACCATCACTTCCCTGACATAAGCAGAGATTTGAGTGTTGGCTCTGGAGCTAAATTTTATCTTCCTCAAAACTTTGCTTAGAATTGATGAAAGCCTACCAGTTTAATAACTGCATGAAATGCTGACACAATCAGCAGCTTTGAGTCAGCATCCACCGGCACAGGTGCTATTCAGTGCCCACTTACACTTGGATCCAGAGGCTCGGCTGCTGAGCTTTCTCATTTCCAGTTTCCCTAAGGATCTGCTGAAGACCATCACTCAGTTAAATCACCCCGTGATCTGAAGACTCAGCAGGATTCACATCCTAGAGGAGCAGTCTGCATCGCTTCTCTGTTAGCAAGGGCAAGATTTACCACACTGCTGACAGCCATACTCTTTTCCTCTTTCTTTTTCCTTTGCATTTTATGTGCGGTTCTTTTCACAGCAGAATACCAGAGATACCTGGTTTATCAATTTATTATGAGATTTTATAAGCCCAAAGTGTCTGATGACAAATAGCTAAATACTACCCGAGCTTATAACAGTATTTTTTCTACATTGGACTTTTCCCAGCAGATTCTTTTTCCACTTCCCTTCTTCCTTCCCATGGCCTTTCTAGAAGAGCGAAGATACAAGAAATACAGCTGAGACTATGTCAGGGCAGAGAATAGAGAGGGAATATGGCAACACAACGGGTATTTATTCCCCTTCCTATCCCTCCCAAATGCCAGTACATTCAAAAGTGCGCATCCAAAAAAATCACAGCTGAACTGAACGACACCAATTTACACCTTTCATTCCTGTGTTGTATAAGAATATTCTATTTCTAGTAGACAAATGCCAGGAATTAAAGTGATCTAAAAAATATGAATTTAGGGAAATTATTCCACATGAGAGGAAGACCTGCCCTTTCCTCTCTCCACTATTATGATAGGCACTAAAATTCCTACTGGTATTACACAGCCTTGTGGAGTTGGAAAAGGAAATGCAGGAATTCTGGGGATATAAAGAAAATCCAAAGACTCACAAAGACTCCTCTAGCTCAGGTAGTAACCAAGCTGAAAGCATCCTAAATACCAGAGGTGAAGACTGAGGCAGTTTTTTCTCATCCACCTCCTCTCTGAGGGCTCAGACCTGAAATGAAGGCACCATCTATGGGCCATGCAGCCTTTCTCCCATCACATGGACTGCAGAAAAGGGACACCTCGAGGTTTCCAGGGCGCCCACCATGATCCCCTGCCAGCAGCAGGCACACCAGCAGAGCTTTCACACTTCTGGAGATGCTCCAGCTCTCCTGCATGGGCATCAGCACCCGGACACAGCCCCAGGACACCACGCCTTGGCATAGCGCAGGTCCAAAAGCCTGTCTTGATCACCTGCATCCCAAGCAAAGGTTTATCCCTGTAACTAGGGGAGACCATGGGCTGAAGACATTGCGCAACAGGGTGTGGTAGAAGGAAGTGTAAGGGAGCCGGGTAACACAGCTCTCACAGTGTGCCCAATTATAAAATCCTTTCCAGAAGTCATCTATCATCTTGAGCTTGTGTTAGTGAGATAAACCTCTCCACTCCCCCTTTTGCACCAGGAGGTCTAGGAAGCACAGTGAAGTGCCCCCCGAGCTAGCATGGCACATATGAGCCCAGGCATTAGGATTGTCCACATGAGTGAGATGCAGGTCTCTGGGAATCCGATTAGCTTGTACAAACACATCCAAAAAGCACACGTAAAGGGAC